ATTAGGCCACCGCGTTTCGATTTATTTGAGTTTTTCGGATTTTTTTTATATGAGGATGTAGTCTTATGTTTCCGGAGCAGTAGATTTTGAAAACGACCTCCATTTTAAGATTAGGCCACCGCGTTTCGACTTATTTGTGTTTTTCGGATTTTTTTCATATGAGGGTGTATTATTATGTTTCCGGAGCCGTAGATTTTGAAACCGACCTCCATTTTAAGATTAGGCCACCGCGTTTCGATTTCTTTTGAGTTTTTCGGATTTTTTTCATATGAGGATGTATTCTTATGTTTCCGGAGCCGTAGATTTTGAAAACGACCTCCATTTTAAGATTAGGCCACCGCATTTCGATTTCTTTAACTGTTTCGAATTTTTATCATAAAAGAGTGTATTCTTGTGTTTCCGGAGTCGTAGATTTTGAAAATGACCTCCATTTTAAGATTACGCCACTGCGTTTCGGCTTATTCAAGTTCTTCGAATTTATCCAATTTAAAGGTCTACTTTTATGATGCCGGAGCCTTAGTTTTTAAAACGACTTACATTTTAAGATTAGGCCACTGTCTTTCGGTTTTGTTAAGTGTTTTTGATTTTTCCTTCGAATAAAAAACATAATACGAAGGATTAATTTATTTTTCAATAAATAAATAAAAATATCTAATCAAAATAAATAAAATATGTATTGTCTCATTTTTAATTTAATTTTAGTTATCTTTTTTAATGTTGTGGTCTCCTATCACAAAATTATAAGATTTCGAACAATTAGCTGAAAAATCTGAATACGGAAGGTTAAATTTATTACCAGTTGCTTTTCGGCTTTTTAGTTTGTATTCTGTGGTTAATTTTACTTTGGCTTCATAATATTTATTTATTTATTCATACTCGAAAACATATTGATGAAACTTTGTATTGAAAAAATCCAAAATGAAGCCTAATTAATCAAGATGCAGCGGCTTAATCATAAAATGGAGCTTAAATATTAGATAAATTTAAATATTAAAGATTAGAAAAAATTCAATACGTCTCGGATAACATATAAGTAGATCCTTATACCGAAAAAGTAAAAAAAAAACTTTTATAATCCAAAACAGTGGCATAAACTTTAAATTGGGTCATTTACAAAATGGGGGAAATCTACTGCTCCAGAAACATAAAATTAGACCTTTATACTTGTTAAATTCTAAAAATTTAAATAAGTTGAAACGCAGTTGCGTAATCATAAAATAAAGGTCATTTTCAGAATCTACGGTTCCGAAAACATAAAAGTAGACCTTTAAATTGGATAAATTTGAAAAACTTAAATAAGTCAAAATGCAATGGCGCTATCATTAAATGGATGTCATTTTCAAAATCTACGGCTCAAGAAACATAAAAGTAGACCTTAATATTGGATAATTTCGAAAAACTTAAATAAGTCAAAACGTAGTGGCGTAATCATAAAATGGAGGTCATTTTCAAAATCTACAGCTCCGGATACATAAAAATACACCCTCATATGAAAAATATCCGAAAAACTTAAATAAGTCAAAACGCAGTGGCCTAATCTTAAAATGGAGGTCATTTTCAAAATCTACAGCTCCGGATACATAAAAATACACCCTCATATGAAAAATATCCGAAAAACTTAAATAAGTCAAAACGCAGTGGCCTAATCTTAAAATGGAGGTCATTTTCAAAATCTACAGCTCCGGATACATAAAAATACACCCTCATATGAAAAATATCCGAAAAACTCAAATAAGTCGAAACGCGGTGGCCTAATTTTAAAATGGAGGTCATTTTCAAAATCTACAGCTCCGGATACATAATAATACACCCTCATATGAAAAATATCCGAAAAACTCAAATAAGTCGAAAAGCGGTGGCCTAATCCTAAAATGGAGGTCGTTTTCAAAATCTACGGCTCCGGAAACAAAAAAGTAGACCTTTATATTGGATAAATTCTAAAAACTTAAATAAATCAAAACACAGTGGCGTAAACATAAAATGTATGTCATTTTAAAAATTTACTGATCGGATAACATATAAGTAGATCCTTATACCGAAAAAGTAAAAAAAAAAACTTTTATAATCCAAAACAGTGGCATAAACTTTAAATTGGGTCATTTACAAAATGGGGGAAATCTACTGCTCCAGAAACATAAAATTAGACCTTTATACTTGTTAAATTCTAAAAATTTAAATAAGTTGAAACGCAGTTGCGTAATCATAAAATAAAGGTCATTTTCAGAATCTACGGTTCCGAAAACATAAAAGTAGACCTTTAAATTGGATAAATTCGAAAAACTTAAATAAGTCAAAATGCAATGGCGCTATCATTAAATGGATGTCATTTTCAAAATCTACGGCTCAAGAAACATAAAAGTAGACCTTAATATTGGATAAATTCGAAAAACTTAAATAAGTCAAAACGCAGTGGCGTAATCATAAAATGGAGGTCATTTTCAAAATCTACAGCTCCGGAAACATAAAAATACACCCTCATATGAAAAATATCCGAAAAACTTAAATAAGTCAAAACGCAGTGGCCTAATCTTAAAATGGAGGTCATTTTCAAAATCTACAGCTCCGGATACATAAAAATACACCCTCATATGAAAAATATCCGAAAAACTTAAATAAGTCAAAACGCAGTGGCCTAATCTTAAAATGGAGGTCATTTTCAAAATCTACAGCTCCGGATACATAAAAATACACCCTCATATGAAAAATATCCGAAAAACTCAAATAAGTCGAAACGCGGTGGCCTAATTTTAAAATGGAGGTCATTTTCAAAATCTACAGCTCCGGATACATAAAAATACACCCTCATATGAAAAATATCCGAAAAACTCAAATAAGTCGAAACGCGGTGGCCTAATCTAAAATGGAGGTCGTTTTCAAAATCTACGGCTCCGGAAACAAAAAAGTAGACCTTTATATTGGATAAATTCTAAAAACTTAAATAAATCAAAACACAGTGGCGTAAACATAAAATGGATGTCATTTTAAAAATTTACTGATCGGGAAACATAAAAATACACCCTTATATCGAATAAGTCAAAAAAACTTAAATAATTCGAAACGCAGTCATGTAATCTTAAAAAGGAGGTTATTTTAAAAAACTACTCATACGATAACAGACCCACGCATCGAAAAATTAAAGATAATTAAATAAATAAAAAAAGGTTGAATTTGAAATGGAAAAGGTTTAATTTGAAATGGAAAAGGTTGAATTTGACTTGGAAAAAGTTTAATTTGATTTGGAAAAGGTTGAATTTGACTTGGAAAAGGTTGAAATTGACATGGAAATGCTATATATAAAGGAATGGGGAGCTGATGTTGAGAACTAGAGAAAGGGATGGAGGATGAGGGGCGGGTTTTGTAGTCAGTAATAAGTTTTTTAATGGTGTTGGAGGGGAAGTTATTAGACAATAGTATCTGTTGTATGCGTCTAGTGTTTGTTTCATGTAGGTAAGGGTCAGATAGAGAAAAACATCGGTGAATGAGGTTTTTGGCAACGTTAAGTTTTTGGTGAAAGGGGTGTTGAGAATAGTAGTTGAATAATCTGCCAGAGTATGTCGGTTTTGTGTACCAGTCTGTGGATAAAGTATAGTTGGGATGTCTTTTAATGAGAAGATCGAGGAAAGGGAGGGAATAGTTATCTTCGTATTCAACTGTAAAAGAGAGGCGGGGATGATATGAGTTAAAGGCGGAAAGGATGTCAGGAATAGTATCAGGATTGACGATGAGGAGGTCATCGACGTATTTTTTTATAAGAAATATGTCATTAGGAAACTGTGGGGCTATGGTGTTTAGGAGATCATTAAGAACAATGTTAGATAAGTCGGGTGCGAGAGGATTACCCATAGCTCATCCTGCAATTTGATTATAAAATTGTCCATGGAACTGGAGATAACCAGATTTGCAACAAAGTTGTAGGGATTCAATAAATGAGGAACGGTTAAGGGAGGTATGAGACTCTAAGGATGACCAGTTATTTTCTACTATAAGAAGGGCTTTATCTATAGGGATGTTGGTGAAGAGGCTTTTAACGTCGAAGGAGACTAGAATGTAATTATCGGGAATGGTTACGGATAATAACAGATTACGTAGATGAAAGGAGTTGTGGATATCATATGGATTGTCATGACTAAGGATTTGTAAGGATAGGAGTAGAAATTTGCTGAGTTTTAAAGAGGGAGAGTTGATATTAGAAGTGATAGGACGGAGGGGAGTGCCGGGTTTGTGAATTTTTGGAAGACCATAGAAACGGGGAGCCACGGAGTTATAAGAGATGAGGTTTCTGTAAGTAGGATATGTGATTTGTTTAGAGTGTAAGAGGTTTCTGATATGTTGGTTAAATTGGATTTTAAGAGAAGGAGTGGGGTCACGAGTTGTAGGAGCGTATGTAGATATGTCTGATAGGAGTTCAGTCATTTTTCTATTATAGTCTGTGAGGTCCATGATAACTGTTTTATTTCCTTTGTCCGCTTTAGTGATGATGATGTCGTCATGATTTTTAAGGAAGGAGCGTGTGGAAGAAAGATCTTTGAAGAATTGAGGGGAAAAGTTAGAAGTAGTGGATGGGGGGTGTTGGAGATGGTTAGAGATAATGTTAGTTATGGAAACACGAGATAATTCTTTATTATCATTAGAATGGTGAAAGATCGGATCGTTATAAATATATTCCAAGTCTGTAATAAGTTCAGGGATGAGTTTGGTAGAGGAATTAGGGGTGGAAAAATTCGGACCTAAGCTTAAAATGTTGAGGACGTTGGAGGGAATATCTATGGATGAGGAGTTGTGGACCCAATTATCGTCTCCTTTTGGGTATATCTTATGGACTAACGATTGCTGAAAAATGTCATTAAATTTAGTGATGAGAATACTTTTTTTCTTTGATCTGGTAGTAATAAAGATAGTGGAAATAATTTGTGATAGGTTAGTCATGTGTTCGTCAGTCATGATGGTTTGTAATAATTGAGTGATGGCGGAAATTTGTTGGTTGAGGTGATGGATATGTTGTATGATTTCACGGATTTTCAAATTAAGGAGGGATTTTTTGAATTTTAAAGAACAGTTAGATAATTTGGAATTGAGTGGTTTGGAGATAGTAATGTGATTGAGGGAATTAGTGATTGATTTAGGAAAAAGAGAGTTGGAGCGGCATTTCAGTAAAAAAATGCGCTGTTCTAACGTGTCGGCAAGGCGTTTGTGGAGCGAGCATAGGCTGTTAATGTGGTATTTGTGACTAGAATAAACGGTTTTGAAAAATGAGAAGGATAAATTAGCTTGACTGGGAGCGGAACTTATTAGAGAGGAGGAGTTTAAAACTGAAGAGGTCAATGTGTCATCATGTGACGAATTGTTAAATGAAGATGGAGAAGAGTGTGAAGAGAAGTGATTAGATATCGGTGCTGCGTGATGAAAAGTTCTGGAAGGTTTTTGAAATCTGGTACTGTGACGAGTGGGAAGAACAGAGAGGTTCTGATGTGCGGATGACTGTTGTTGTAGATTGTTGGATCTGGAATTAAGTCTGGAACTGCGACGTATGGATTGTGGGTTTGTATCTTGATGTTGACCCCGTGGTAATGTATTCATAATGATGTAGAGATTACTAGAGTTTTTTTACACTGCCAGTGTTTCAACTGCCTCCCGCAGTGCCACATCCTACGGTATGTTTTGACTTTTATTGTGATTCTTTTCTTAACACACCTATCCTTCAACTATACACCTTATTATTATCTTCATGCAGCCTACCATTCCGTTACCGCTTTCAAAAAACTAAATGTCAATTGTCATATATATATAGTACAACCTGGTTTTTGTTTCTTTATCATCATAACCTTCTTTTTACATTTATTCTTACATTTTAAAGTATTCTTTTAAAATTATTGTTTTCTTATAGAGTTATTTATACTTAATAATCTATCCCAACAATATTACACTAATGTTACCCCATTAATCTTTCAATTTCTTCACTTCTTAACCTTTAGTCCCGTTATCTGTTTATTTACAATTAAAGGTAACCTCCACTTGCTTGTTATCCACAGATATCTTATTATTATGTTATCTTATCCATATTTCAACTTTACTGTAACAATAGTATTCAATTTTCAATCTATTTATTCGTTAACATTCATGTATTTATTTTCTTTTATCTATTTTCTTATCATGTATTTATTTTCTTTATCTTTTATTTCTGTATCTGACAACTTCTTCGTATTTTATGTATACTTATATTTATTTTTTATTTTATTTTTATTTTTTCAACATGTTTGTATCTTTTGTAGCCCTGAAGACGACCTGCAAAGTGGGTCGAAACGTCGGCAAAAATTAAAATAATTTATATATTTTAATTTTTTTATTTATTTGACCGCAACTCCTTCTCAAACTATAAAGATTGTTAAGAAGCCAAAAAACACTATTTCTCAAATTTCTTTTTTCTAAAAAAATAATGCCCAAATGTGATCAAAATTTCGAAATGGCCCATATAACATACATATATAAAGAAAAATCTCCAAAGATAAGTTTATAGTAAATTAATAATAAAACATCACCATTATGTGTCTTAAAGCTCTGAAAACAGCTTTATCAGCTGCAGTTATCTGATTTCCTCCAAAATATGACTGAAAACTTAAAGCTTCATTCAGCTCCTGCAAAAAAAAAATAAAAAAGAATATTTATAAATATAATTTTATTCATACAAATATATATAAAAAATAACTACAATCAGAAATAATTAATAATTTTTAGCACGGAGAAAGCAAGCAAGGGCATAAATTTTGAGATATTTAATAATGATATTTTGATTATAATAGCATTTGTTTAAACATATATTAACCAGAAATTTTAAAAGCCCTATGTGTCTTTTTACCATGTTTACAAGTTTTCCTCGCGAAATTTCATATTCCCATCTTCCTGGAAAATTTCCCTAGTCTGACCTTTGAATAAAACTTATAACCCTTCCTCACTGCACGACTTCTCACCTATTTCTCTCCTTTCCAACCTATCAAAAATATTGGAACGCCTCGTCCAAAATCAACTTTCCAGCTTCCTAGAGGAACGTTCCCTCATCAACCCATTCCGATCTGGCTTTCGACCTGGCCACTCAACCCAATCTGCACTCCTTGAAATAACCCATGACCTCCAAAACTCCATTGAACACCTAAATCTTACTATCCTCATCCTTCTAGATTTTTCCCAAGGATTTGACATAGTTGACCATAACATTCTTCTTACTAAATTGCAAAATCTTCCTCTATCTAACATTGTTCTGCCTTGGTTCAAATCATTCCTCTCAAATTGGTCCCAGTATGTAATCGTCCCAGGTCAACCTCATTCAAGCTAAAGTTGAGGAAATCCTAATAGGATCAAATCACCTCCTTAAAAGTGTTCCTAACATTCCAATCCTATTCCTACATGATAATCCCATCAAATTTTATCGCACCATCAAGAACCTTGGAATAACCTTTGATCAGACCTTTTCCTGTAAAAACCATGTATTCAATATCTCCCGCCGTGCCTTTTCAACATTCAAATGTGTAGATTTCCTCCATGACCTTCTTCCTTTTAAAACCTATAGACTCCTGGTCACCTCCTTAATATTTCCTCACTTTGACTATTGCTGCACGGTATATGGAGGCGTCTCTGGGGATCTCGAGGCGAAACTAAAACATATGATAAATCGCCTTGTACGATTTATCTTCAGGTTCCCGAAGGACATCTCTGTTTCCTGTGTTTATGCTTTTATGAATTACAAGTGGCTATATCTTTCTTACCGTCTTAAGTATTCAATGGCATCCTTCCTCTTTCAAATCATCCTTCCTCAACTAAAGCCGTCCGTTACACCCGCAATACCCGTTTCCGGTCTTCAGATTTATATAGAATGGACCACCGAACAGCTGCTTTCGATAGATTTTTCATTATTCGATCCTCGACCCGTTGGAACTCCATCTCTCCCTACATTCGTCGTTTCAATACCCTCTCTACTTTTAAGTCCCGCCTATTCAATCACTTCCTTTCCATCCAGTAACCATAAAATTGTAAATAGACATTCTTGTAAATGTGTACATACATTATTGGTTTGATTTCAATTGCTTCATTATGTTTCTTTCATTCATTTTTTGTTGATTGGTTAAAGTTAAAAGTTAGTTTTACGTTTTTTTTAAATTATATTTATTCATTTAAATTGTAAACATACTTGGACATCTTCCAGGTTCAAAAGCCAACATTTATGTTCTTGTTTATTATTCTAAAGTGACTGATCCCATAAAACATAAATTATTATAATCTTAATGTGGTCGGTCAATTTTTAATGATATAAAGGTGCGGAGGTTAAGATGGGTGGGGCATGTAGATTGTAGCAATCCATCTGGAAGCCTCTATGTAACAATGAATGCCTCAATAGAAGGCAAAAGACCAAGTGAAAGGCCAAAAAGCAGATGGGTGGATAGAATCGACTAAGATGCAATAGATCTGCATGCAGATAACTGGAAAGAAATAGCCCAAGAAAGGCAGAGATGGAACAGGCCTGTTAAGGCGGCAAAAGGTCTATAAGGTCTGCAATGCCAACAGAAAAAAAAAAATGTATTTAATGTAAACACTGTGGCCGTTCCAGGAATTTTCTCAGGGGGGAGGCGCACCTCTGTACCAGGTGCTTCCTCCACCTCTATCCGACCTACCCATTTCCTCCCCCCATTTCTCACAAGAGTTTAGCCGCTCAAAAGTCCTCTTTAAATGGTTTTAACAAAAGCAAACTCTATTTTTAATTAAAGTATATTTTGTCTAGTTTACCGTGAAGCAATCGTTAATTACTTAAATTAGATAGTTTTTTGTTATCACTTCCAATTCAACAAAAACCGTGGCTTACATGAAAAATCACAAAACTTTAATTCCCTACTTTTCTGCAGAAAATCGAACCATTGTTTATATAAACTTTTTTGTATTAATTGAGTTCGCCTATCACTCCTTTAAATATTTCCCGCTACTTACGAGATACCCTGCATCTGGGTTTAGACATGTAAAAAACTGAATTGCTGACACGGGTCACCAAGAGAAAACTTTTGCAGCCAAAAATTATCTTATCTTTTTTTTTCATTTATTACTACTAAACAGTGCATCAAAAGAAAAAAAAGTATTCTTTGAGAAATTAAAGAACGTCAAATTGTGCGTCGAACGAGTACCTAAACTTAATAATTTGACTGATATGATCGATAACCCCGGTCAATGAACGCTAATTTTTACTGACATGGTCATCTGAGAAAGATTACAATAAATGGCCCTGCAGCTTGGAAATGAGTTCTCTAAGAACAAAAACTCAGAATAATTTCTGATTCCGATCATAATCAGATTCCGATCAAATCGAGACCAAATAATTAGTATCTTGCCTCATGAAAACGTTCCCAACAGCAGCTATTTTAAGAAAAGAACAACACTTTCTAATGAAAAATGTACAAATTATTATCGTGACCAGTATTATGAATCGCATGGATTCTTCAAGGAGACTATACTTGCTTGAGGTTGCAATGCATCCAGATCTAATGGAACTGAATAAAAACTGGGTCCGGGAGAAAACCCGTACTTTCTTGCGCTCGAATAAAAGGTTGTTCGAAAGAATAAATGAAGTTCATATTTTGTAAAATAAATTTTCCTCTATCATGTATTTCACCTGTGAGATGTATTTCTGTTCGGAGTCAATAGGAACAAACTGCGACAGGAGCACAAGCCTTCGCATCTCACGGCAGCCTAAAAACTACATCACTCTTTTCTTTGAATAGCTGCTTTTTACAACTTTTTAGGAATTTTTTGTCTACCATCCAGGGGGAGAGTCGCCCCCTGGTAGAAATTGCTAATGCTGGTCACGATGATAACTTTTGTTTTATATTACATTAGAAATTCGTCTATGAGGATGAATTTCTCCTATATTTCTCTTTTGCGTAGCTGCTTTTTGGAACTTTTCCCCAACCATCCAGGGGAGAGAGGGGCGCGCTTCTGCCTGGATCCGCTAGTATTAGTCACGATAATAATTTTTTTGTAGCACAGAAAAGTCGTCTTAGAAGATGAATTTTTCCTTTATTTCCTGTTTCATTAAATAGCCGTTTTTTTTTTTTTCACCATCCTAGGGAGGGCGCCGCCCCCTCCCCCTGGCAGAATTCGTTACTGCTGGTTCCGATTATAATTTTATTTTATTACATTAGGAAATTCGTGAATGGTAATGAATGAATGAATTTTCCCTATATTTCTATTTTCTTTGAATAGGTGAATTTTTCGGATTTTTTTCCCCCATGCATGGGAGGGCGCGTCCTCTGGCAGCATTCGCTAGTGCTGGGCACGATAATAATTTATTTATATTACATTAGGATATTCATCGTTTATGAGGATGAATTTTCCTTGTATTTCCTTTTTCTTTCAATAGCTGCTTTTAGGAATCACTTATGGAATTTTTTTCCAGCTCCCAGGGGAGGGGGCGCGCCCCCTTGCCGGATCCGCTAGTGACCTACCATCAGACTGCTTAAAGATTCTGTAAAATCATGACTGAGGTGGGAGTTCTCGGTAAGTTGGTGAGGTGGACAAGGGTGTGTACAAATGATCCTAAACGTCGAGTCCTAATACAAGGAGAAGTATCAGAAGCCTTAAAAGTTCGATCGGGCTTACGACAGGGAGATGGACACCGATGTTGTTAAATTTAGCCCTACAGAAGGTGAACAACATCAAGTGAAAATGGAGGGGTCCACGTCGGAATGAATCATAAAATCCTTGTATACGCAGATGATATAGATGTCCTTGGAAGTAATGAAGAGGACATTGAGAAACTCGTTTAGACTCTGATGAGAGTGGCAGAGCAAATAGGTCTACAAGTAAATGAAGACAAAACTAAATATATGATAATAAGTCGAAAATTCCACTCGAATAACAGAATCTGTATAGAAGGGAAATCGTTTCCGAGAGTAGAAAAATTCAAATACCTGGAGTCAACAAAAACCTCAGTGAATTACCAACGGTCAGATGCAGACCAACATATAACTAGCGCAAATAGAGCTTTCTTCTTCCTTTCAAAGTCCCAAGAATTCTATTAAAATCCCAAGAAATCTCAAATTAAGGGTGTTAAATGCTATGATAAAGCCAGTTCTAATATATGGCTGTAAGACCTGGGCACTAACAAGCATCCTAGAAAAAAGTATTGAAAGAAAAATCCTCCGTACGATAACCGGACCGATCTGGGATCAGAGCACTGGCACATGTAGAAGAAAGACCAATAAAGAACTGCTTACAGAAGCTGGTCAATCAATATCTATCAATATCTAGATATGAAGGCACGGAGGTTAAGATGGGCGGGGCATGTAACTCATAGCAATCCATCTGGAAGCGGCAACGTAACAATGAATGCCTCAATAGAACTAGATGATTCAAACTAAGAAAGTACTTGCTGTTTGCAGTGCCGGCCTTAGACATTTGGCGCCCCTGGGGAATGACGCCGTTTCCCATCCATCCGAAAAATTAAATTTATTTCTTCAGCAGTTTTATGTTTTGTGACATATGGCATTTCAACAATTCTCTAATACAGTTGCTTTATTGATATGATAAAATTAATTACTTTAATATGTTTTGTATTTTTTTTTAATTTCTAACAAGTGGCGAGCGCCTATGATCAGCG